CTCCTCACCTTATGTGACTACCAATTTGGTTTTAGTCTATCAAAAAAACCACCAAATTTAGAATATATGCTACACACAAGAGATGAGTTGTGCAATATTGTACAGAATATGTTTATTAGAGGGTAAAATGGTCCCAAAGTAAAAGTATTGTGACAAGGACTCCCCTTTCCTGGAGAAAATATAGAATTAGCCTGTTTAATAAAGACTGGTGCAGCCCAATCTGTGTTCAACATAGAGGATTTATCTCCACGTTTATTACAGTGCATCCAGAAAGTATTCACAGCGCTTAACTTTTGCCACATTTTGTTATGTTACAGCCTTATTCCAAAATGGACTAAATTCGTTTTTTTCCTCAACATTCTACAAACAATACCCCATAATGACAATGTGAAAGAAGTTCATTTTGAAATCTTTGCAATTTATTAAAAATAAAAAAACACATGTACATAAGTATTCACAGCCTTTGCCATGACACTTAAAATGAAGCTCTGGTACATCCTGTTCCCACTGATCATCTTTGAGATGTTTCCACAACTTGATTGTAGTCCACCTGTGGGAAATTCAGTTGATTGGACATAATTAGGAAAGGCATAAACCCTGTCTATATAAGGTCCCACAGTTAACAGTGCATGTCAGAGCACAAACCAAGCCATGAAGCCCAAGGAATTGTCCGTAGACCTCCAAGAAAGGATTGTATGAAGGCACAGATCTGGGGAAGGGTACAGAAAATTTTCTGCAGCATTGAAGGTTCCAATGAGCACAGTGGCCTCCATCATCTGTAAATGGAAGAAGTTTGGAATCACCAGGAATCTTCCTAGAGCAGACTGCCAAGCCAAAATAAGTGATCGAGGGAGAAGGGCCTTAGCCAGGGAGGTAACTAAGCACCTGATGGTCACTCTGAAAGAGCTTCAGAGTGACCTGTGGAGAGAGGAGAACCTTCCAGAAGAGTAACAATCTCTGCAGCACTCCACCAATCAGGCCTGTATGGTAGAGTGGCCAGACGGAAGCCACTCCTCAGTAAAAGGCAAATGGCAGCCTGCCTGGTTTGCACCTGAGGGACTCTCAGTCCATGAGAAATAAAACTCTGGTCTGATGAAACAAAGATTGAACTCTTTGGCCTGAATACCAAGCGTCATGTCTGGAGGAACCAGGCACCGCTCACCACCTGGCCAATACCATCCCTACAGTGAAGCATGGTGGTGGCAGCATCAAAGGAAAGATGAATGAAGCAATGTACAGAGACATTCTTGATGGAAACATGTTCCAGAGCGCTTTGGACCTTAGACTGGGGGTGATGGTTCATCTTTCAACAGGACAACAGCCCGAAGCACACAGCCCACATAACAAAGGAGTGGCTATGGGCCAACTCTATGAATGTCCTGGAGTAGCCCAGCCAGAGCCCAGACTTGAACCTGATTGAACATCTCTGAAGAGAACTGAAAATGGATGTGCACTGATGCTCCACATCCAACCTGATGGAGCTTGAGAGGTACTGCAAGAAGAATTGTTGTTCAAAAATAGGTGTACCAAGCTTATAGCATCATGCTCAAAATGACTTGAGGCTGTAATTGGTGCTAACGGTGCTTCAACAAAGTATTGAGCAAAGGCTGTGAATACTTATGTACATTTGTTGTTTTTTTTTTTTTTTTTTTATTATTATTTTTAATAAATTGCAAAGATTTTAAAATTAACTTCTTTCTCGTTGTCATTAAGGGATATTGTTTGTAAAATGTTGAGGAAAAAAATGAATTTAATCCATTTTGGAATAAGACTTTAATATAACAAAATGTGGCAAAGGTTAAGCACTGTGAAATACTTTCTGGATGCACTGTATCTGAAACATCTCTGGCGTAGACCTAACCAGGAAGTCTTCTTATTTGGTTGAGTAAAAGGGACTCAGGCTACGACAACAAATTGTCACTAAAATGTTTGTTTCAGACACCGCTCGTACTAATCTCTTAAATGCTGACATTCTGGGCCAAATTTTAGGAAACATAAACTACACTCCTACAGGAGTCCAAATTGTCAGTAGTCTGTTGGTAGAAGATTTAAATTCTGCCTGTGGAGTATTTTTAATCCAAGACTCCACTCTACCTTTCCCACCAGATTTGGAAATGATTCCCACTTATTTATGTGCCTCCAGCATATGTGATGTAGGCCTACTCTATTGTACCCCATTGATGATAAAAACTAAACCAGGAACCCATCTCCCACAGATTAGACAGTACCCACTGAGCATTACTCAGACTGAGTAAAAAAAAAAAAAATCACTCACTTGAGAGCAGCAGGAGTTGTTGTGCCAATTAAGTCCAAATCCAATACATCTCTGTTTTCAATTGCAAATTAAATACCACACAGTGCAAGATTTAAGATCCATTACCAACATACCTTACGCAAACAGTTTAGTGCCCAACTTCCACACTTTCCAGCATCTGTTTTACACTGATTGAACTTGCAAATGCATTTTTCTTAGTGCCCCTTAGCCCAGATTGCAGGTACCTTTTTTCATTTACATTTCATGGCTAGCAGTTGGCATGGACCCTTCCAGTGTGTGTGAGTAGCCCCTCTGAATATAATACTGTGTTAAAGCAAGTACTGGACCGTTAGTCTTGCTCATACCCAAACACCATTTTGGTTCAGTACATAGACAATTTTCTCCATTGTTGTGGCTCTTAGGACATATGCAGCAGAGAGACAGTAAGCCTTCTCAAGTTTTCTAAAACAGTAACAAAGTTAGCAAAGATAAGCTACAATACTGTGATCTTCTCGGTCACTGCAATTCACATGTTATCTGTCACATAACTCTAGAATGAGTTAAAACGTTGCAAAAATTATTAAAAGCTGAAAATATATGGCAAATACAGTGAACCTCATAGCAATCAAACTGTAAAAAAATCCCTGATCACCACCCAGTGTAGTACAGTGTTACTATGATGACACTGAACTACTCAGATTAAAGTATGGGAATAAAACAGTAAAAAACAAAAGAAAAAACTATTTTAAAAAATGGTTTTAAAATTGAATAAATAATTATTTAAAACATGACTTATTTATTTTTTTACAAACTGTCTCCAGTTAGTGTCCCTGATGACCGCCTCACCATTCATATGTTGACACTGTACTGCACTGGTGACAGTATGTGAAAAAAAAAATTGTATTTAATTTCATAATTTTCCCATTTTGGTAGTAATTGTACTGTCTTGGTGTTTTAGGGCATCAGGAAATTAGACAAATCCTCGGTACATCAGAACGGATCAATTTTAAAATATATTTACTATAGTTTGTAGATGCTATAGCTTTCACACAAACCAAATAATATATTATGTGTGGAAAAACTTGCATAGACGTGCCCCCCCACCTGTTGTGCTCTCACCTCAGGTATATGAACAAACCACTAAGTGAGGTCATATAATGCTTGTGTCCCTTTAAATAGGCCAGAGTATGGATGAGATGATATCCTGCTGTTTGGGGTCCTTCTCCACTCAAACGATAATCTTCCCTTCCATGGTGGTTTATATAGAGGAATTAATCAAATCATAGTGTATTATCCTTTAAAAAGCCTTTTTATTAATAAAAGTAATGCACTCACATATACACTGTGTATAAAACTGCTTTGTTCACAAAAAGCTCTAAACCTTTCTCATTAAAAAAACTATACCATTCCTGTATATCCTCATCTTCTAATAGTAGAAAAATAAGACTACGCTAGTACTAAATATAAAACACAAAATGTATATACTGTGACATAGACAAAAAAATAATAAATCTAAAACATATCAATCTCAAAGAAATATTCTTAAAGTCCCAAAATATAAGTCACTTATAGAAAGTCCCAAAAAATATGTGACAGTAAAAAAATGATGAGGACGTCAAATGACGAAACGCGTAGGGCGGGGCTTGAGTGGTGTGACATCAGCGCGCTCCTGGCATCGCAAGAGCGCATATGTTTTCTGGTTGGATCTATTCCTTGGCATCTGTCTGTGCTCATCATGCTGGTGTCGGTTGGACACCGTTTTCTGTAAGTGTGTTTTTGTCTATATTAAAACAGTGTTTTTAAGAAGTACTGTACCATGAGCTTCTTTTTTTATTCCGAGTGGCCATTCCAATACCTCTTAAACAAGATGGGATGTGAATAAAGTGGATCTTCAGAGTCTCCTGCAGAGTATTGCTCCAGGAAATCGTTTCTTCCAAGCCAAAGCTGTGCTTCAATTGTCTGCAGATCGTTGCTCCCAGAGCAAAAAAGCGCTTACGCTGGTTTATAATTTAATCAGCATTTTGCTGTGGTGAGTTTATTCAGTTCATTTGGTGGTGAATTCACTTGGTGGATTTTATTTCAAAAAGGAATTTTTTCAATTTCATCTTTCTTTTACTATCACATATTTTTTGAGACTTTCTATAAGGGACTTATATTTTGGGACTTTAAGAATATTTCTTTGAGATTGATATGTTTTAGATTTATTATTTTTTTGTCTATGTCACAGTATATACATTTGTGTTTTATATTTAGTACTAGCGCAGTCTTATTTTTCTACATTTGTATGCACCTTCAGAAAGGTTAGACTTTGCAGCTGGTTTTGTGGTTAATTAGGGTCTATTATTTCTTTATTTTTTGTTTGGCGCTATCTATATTTATTTAGTCATCTTCTAATAGGCCATAATTTATGGGCACTTCCCATCTTAGTTTCCTTGGCACCATTTTATCTTTAATATATTTTTCCATGAAAACTAGGTCCCACCAAACATTGTTTTTTTTTTGTCCATAACGTGACCTAATTTTCTGAATAAACTTATAATACTGGTGTCTTTACTTACTTCATTATTAAATATATCCTCTATGCTAAAATTCCTTCTATCCAAAAATGAAAATAAATCCAGAGCTGCTACAAACAAGTGTATGAACAAAGGTGAATAAATCAAAAAATGTGAGCTGCTATGTGAGTGAAAAACCTACTGAAGTCCTAATGGTGAATCGCCTGCACCCAGGGGTGGACTAACAACTCATGGGATCCCCGGGTAATAGGGGATCATGGGGCCCCTGTGTCCTCGCCCACACTCAAACCACACCCAAAAAAGCCTATGAAAGGCTCCAGGGGCCTCTCACAGGGCCCCCTCCTGAACCTAGGCCCTCGGGCAGTGCCTGAGTTCCCCAATGGTCAGTCCCCCCTTGCCTGCTCCTAGCACATACTCATACTAGTGTGCTAAATCAATATTATATACCACATGCTCGAGAGTTGAGATACTGGTGGACATCACTGGATTGAGAGGGGGCTCAGCTAAGTATTAGGGTGGGCTGCTGCTCACAGAAGATTTTTTTTTACCTTCGTGCATAGAATGCATAAAGGTAAAAAACCTTGAGCCTTTAGAACCACTTTAAGGGCTATCCCCAGGCTTCTTATTTAATGAATGTTACATTTTTAATGTTTCATTTTACGAATTACCCTGAAAAATGGATATTGAACTTTTTTTGCTTCTTTTTTTTCAGAACATTGCCCAATCCCCAATGCCATTTGATTGAAAATTTAATTCCAATTAGCCTAGAAATGGCCATTACTGTTTTTTAAAAGAGAAGTGTAGCCAAAGGTCTTTTGGCTATACAGTACTTCTCCTATGGATCACAAGAGTGCACTTCACTCTGAACCCCTCTAACCCATTTTCTGCTAAAGCCCTCTGTCAGCTGACATCACAGAACTGGTCCAGGCTCTAGAAAGCTCCCAACTTCACAGTCAGGATCCATTGAGATGTTTGGACCAGCAGCTGGCTCAACCTCTCAGCGAGCCTCTGAGTGCCTGAGCCAGCCACTCCTGCCCCCTCCACAGCCTAGCACTCCAATGAGCTCTGGAGGGGCAGATCACAGAGTGGTGACTGACAGTCACCGACTTTCTGCAGACCAAAGCTGAGTGATCAGCCATCTTTGATATCTTGGGTTTCGATCTTACAGGTGGCAGGTAACAGATGCATCATTGGACTGATGCAGCATCCACGTAGGTAAGTATGATTGTTTTGGGTTTTTTTTGAAGCCATACTTTTCTTTTACCTTTTGGCTCCTATTCTCTTCAATGGGGTTTGGATTTGGCACTGAAACTGCATTAATGTTTGCCAAGTCTGCCCCGAACTGAACAGAACACAGGTATTTGCATGATCATTACTTTCTGAGATGCTATAAAAGATGAAGTGAATCCTAATAAGGGAATGGCAGTGGGCTAAACAGGCACCCATGAGGATAACTATCCAGAAGGGGATAATACAAGCAGCCTCCTGTGTTCTGAAAAGAGCTACAATAATGTGTGCATTGGAGGTTTCCATTTTTCAATTAAAATTATGGTCAACAAGGCTCACACTTTGAATACAGATTCAGGCTGAATCACAATGGATGGGCAGATATAAATAGATATATGTCCATTTATATTTGCTTACGTTTATGTCTTCAAAAATAATTGCATTTATTTGGAAATAAAAAGATGTAAACTGAATTCAACTAAACTGAAGACAGATGTTGCAAACTGATGTAAACTTAAATGAACTGAAAATTACATACAAATTGATAAAAAATGAAGTAACATGAATCAGTACTCATTATTCGTCTGAACTGATGACACCTGTGTGAAAGAACTCTAACACAAATGGGGAAAGGGTATTTGGAGATGTAGTGGTAACACTTGAAAAGAGTAGACAGGGTAGGATCACTACAGTGAAATCATGCAAATTGCAGAAAGAACTGATTTTTACTGAATTACATCTCTGTCCACCAAAAGCTTATACTGCTACATGGAGGTCCCTAGATTGGCACTTTGTCTTGTGGGATCATGTTTAGAGATGAGCGAATTATTCAAAAATTCGATTCGGCTGATTCGCCGAATTTGCGGGAGAAATTCGAATTCGATTCGATGCAAATTTATTCGCCGTGAATTTAACTTATTTAAAGGGTTTCTAGGCTTCAGAGAGCCTTTATATTAGTGCAGAACACTGTACCTTTAATTTAAATGCCCTTGGAGTCTGCTGGGGAAGAGAAATAATACTGTCAGTCAGTATGACATGCAGATGAGTGCCGTCGATCTTAGAATCACCGCACACTTCACTCATTTGGGCAGTCACGGGGCACGACGAAGAAGAAGAGAAGAAGAAGAAGAAGAAGAAGAAGAAGAAGAATGAAAAGAAGAATGAAAAGAAGAAGAAGAAGAATGAAAAGAAGAAGAATGAAAAGAAGAATGAAAAGAAGAAGAAGAAGAATGAAAAGAAGAATGAAAAGAAGAAGAATGAAAAGAAGAAGAAGAAGAATGAAAAGAAGAAGAAGAAGAATGAAAAGAAGAATGACAAGAAGAAGAAGAAGAATGACAAGAAGAAGAATGAAAAGAAGAAGAAGAAGAATGACAAGAAGAAGAATGAAAAGAAGAATGAAAAGAAGAAGAAGAAGAATGAAAAGAAGAATGAAAAGAAGAAGAAAGAAGAAGAAGAAGAAGAATGAAAAGAAGAAGAAGAAGAAGAAGAATGAAAAGAAGAAGAAAAGAAGAAGAAGAAGAATGAAAAGAAGAAGAAGAATGAAAAGAAGAATGAAAAGAAGAAGAAGAAGAAGAATGAAAAGAAGAAGAAGAAGAATGAAAAGAAGAAGAATGAAAAGAAGAAGAATGAAAAGAAGAATGAGAAGAAGAATGAAAAGAAGAATTAAAAGAAGAATGAAAAGAAGAATTAAAAGAGAATGAGAAGAATGAAAAGAAGAATGAAAAGAAGAAGAAGAAGAATGAAAAGAAGAAGAAGAAGAATGAAAAGAAGAATGAAAAGAAGAAGAAGAAGAATGAAAAGAAGAAGAAGAAGAATGAAAAGAAGAATGAAAAGAAGAAGAAGAAGAATGAAAAGAAGAAGAAGAAGAATGAAAAGAAGAATGACAAGAAGAAGAAGAAGAATGAAAAGAAGAAGAAGAATGAAAAGAAGAATGAAAAGAAGAAGAAGAAGAAGAATGAAAAGAAGAAAGAAGAAGAATGAAAAGAAGAATGAAAAGAAGAAGAAGAAGAGAAGAAAAAGAAGAAGAAGAATGAAAAGAAGAAGAAGAAGAAGAAGAATCAAAATGAAGAATGAAAAGAAGAAGAAGAAGAATGAAAAGAAGAAGAAGAAGAATTAAAAGAAGAATGAAAAGAATGAAGAAGAAGAATGAAAAGAAGAATGAAAAGAAAGAAGAAGAAGAAGAAAAGAAGAATGAAAAGAAGAATGAAAAGAAGAAGAAGAAGAATGAAAAGAAGAATGAAAATAAGAAGAAGAATGAAAAGAAGAAGAAGAAGAATGAAAAGAAGAATGAAAAGAAGAAGAAGAAGAATGAAAAGAAGAAGAAGAATGAAAAGAAGAAGAATGAAAAGAAGAAGAAGAAGAATGAAAAGAAGAATGAAAAGAAGAAGAAGAAGAATGAAAAGAAGAAGAAGAAGAATGAAAAGAAGAAGAATGAAAAGAAGAATGAAAAGAAGAAGAAGAAGAATGAAAAGAAGAAGAAGAATGAAAAAAAGAAGAAGAAGAAGAAGAATGAAAAGAAGAAGAAGAATGAAAAGAAGAAGTATTCCAGTACAGCAAAAAGTGTATCTGCAGAGAGCTCCGCTATTTCTGACAGTTCTCTGACAGTTCCTTCACATTTACAGCGGTTGAAACATTGTATCTATTTATTTCCAATAAAAACATCTGTATCCTAAATGGAAACAAATAGATACAATGTTTCAACCGCTGTAAATGAACTGTCAGAACTGTCAGAAATAGCGGAGCTCTCTGCAGTGACACTTTTGCCGGCTGATCGGGAAAAATTCGATTCGTGCACCCGAAGTTTGCTAAAATTCGGATTCGATGCAAATCGAATTTTTCCTGAAATTCGAAACAAATTCCACTTCGCCAGGTTCGATTCGCTCATCTCTAATCATGTTCACTAATGAGGTAAGATTGCTTAGTGCATTTGTCCAGCTGCTACAGATTTCCAGACATTGCGGAAGCTTGAGGGCACCAAAGTGAAGGCTGCACTTTCAAACAGGTTTTTAGTTTTCCAGTTAATTTTACTCTCACCTCTGGTTATTAGCTACGAGTAATGATAGCAAAAACAAAGTTTGGGTTGAAATTGAGAGCAAACCTACTACTCATTTTGAATCAAGAGTGATATTATTGAAGCTGTTTGAAGATATTATGCAAGTATCTTATGCAACTGCTCTCTGAAATAGTTTCTCCAGTACCATTAAAGTTACATCCAAATAGAAGTTTTGACTAAACAAAACATTGGAGCGTGAGTACCTAAAGGACTACTGTACCTTTAATACAAGTTGTCCTTAAATGAATCCTCCAATTGCAAGGGCAGGTCACTTGGTTAAGTACTTACCTGCCTCCCCATTCCAATGATTTTTTACTGTGGGACCTTGCCCTGCACTGCATTTTCTTCTGAAAATATCTCAACGTGAATGTGGGCTGCATCTCCATTGATTGGAGAGCTTTATTCCGCTGGACCAATGAAGGCCGTCAGAAGTACGGATCTCATATAGGCATAAATGGAGCCTCATTGCACATGTGTAATTAGAAGAGAACCCAGAAAGAATGTCTTCAGAAGAACGGCTGGGTGGTACTGTATAGGGCCACACAGGAAAGACTGATGGGGGGATTCAGTAAAGTATAACTTGTATGAAAGGTGCAAGTCTCCTTTAACCTCTCTGGAGGTATTCCCAAGTGTAGCTCGGGGTAAAGTTTCAGCACCACAAGCGGTAACCCCGAGCTACACTCGGGAATACCCTGCAGCATTGCTCCGGGATCCCTAGATCACTTACCTTGTCCTTCGCTCCCGCAATGCCCCTCCTGCAGTGTCCCCAGCCATCTCATCCGGCCGATGCTGACATCTGTCTTCCGGGTTTCGTTCCCTGCGACGTCGGGACGTACGGGGACGTAAGCGGAGGGAAATTTAAAAATTTTAAAAAGTGACATTCACTAATACACTAAAATCACATAGTAAAACATTACTGTATCAAACCATTTCCCATACATTTTATCCCTAGTGCTTTGTCATTTGCCCTGCCTGCATTTTTACTGTTCTTTCTGCCTGGAAACTGAGAGATGTCCATGGCGTCCAAAAAGAGTCCCTTTAGGTCAAAAGCGGGTTTAGACCAGCTAGAGCACAGCAATAGTAAATCAGAACCACTTGCAGAATTGAGTGATAATGATTCATGAGGAAATTCGTCATCAGA